CTAAATCACCAACGCAGTGCTTGGCTCTGGGCCTCGCTAAGACATTTATAACATGCAAGTACAACAACAGATAATGAAGTCTAAAATATCCTGTATTATCAACCTATTTTTGTATCATTTAAATATACGGTCCTCTGATTTTATTTCAGTTTTCTTTATTATGTCACATTAAATGCGTGTATATATAAAATAAGAAGGTACATCGACAAGGAACGAGACCACCTAAAAGACATTTTTACTGAACACCTAAGTGAGTATATTTAGCGCGCTAGGAGTGTGTTATGCAACAAGCAAATTAGATTGAATTTAGACTTTCGAAATTTTATTTTACATATTTAATGTTTAACTCGCTACTTAGAATAAACGTTATTATAAAATTGTGCATTCTGAGACTGTGTAAACTTCAAATCTGCTAACGCTTTTCAAATCCGAAAAAACATGTGTTGTGATTTATCAAAAAATCGATTTTGGGAGAAGAAAGATGACTGGTCTACTCATACTTTATTTTTATTCAGTTATTTCATATCAGAAGAATGCTATGTCAATACTTCTGTTTTTTATCATGTATAGTGTGAAAGTATGAAAAGTTATGAAGACTAACGTTAAGATATGGAAATTATCAAATGTTCCCTTAGCATAACATAATACTTCAATATTACCTCTGAAATAACAAAACACTAATGCATGGCTATAAATAAATTTCAATATTTCCATAGTAGGAATGATGAATTAGGAAAGCAATAGACATTCACAAGCACCACTTGATAATTTCAGTGTTTCAATTCTTTTGAATAAGGCATTAAGAAGACAAATTTCGCGAGATGATATCATTTCGTAGTTTATTTACAACTGCTTTACAACTAACATGGTTAACAATAATAAAATAAAGCTCATGACAATTACTCAGTTAAATAAAAACAATTCTTTGTAATTCTACTGAATACTTCGTAATATTGTGAACAACACATTCTATAGCATTCAGGTGATATTTAAATTCTATAGGGTTTTAACAGTCTTCAGACAGAGGACAACTCTTTAACATTTGAATAGCAAAGCAGTATGATTCATCAAATATCAGTCTCTACACATGAAGATGAATATTTCTGTATTGATTAAAAGTGAAGAATCATTCTTTTTTTAATGTCATAGCTAACAATTTATATGACACGTATTCAACAGCCATTTTAGTGTACATTCGCTGAATAGCTAATATGAATTCATACACAACACATGAATAATGTGTTCACTGGTAGCAACTGTATTCCACGCCTGGTTGTATTACTTGAATTTAGTTTGACTGGTAGGCGATTATGCGTTTCTCATCATTTCTGCTGTACATTATCTTTAGTTTTTAGTATGCACTTTAGGTTACTTTTTGAATTTACGAATCTTCGTTAGTGTTTATTAGCCTTTAACATAATTACAGTTTAGCAATACAACCCGTCAGTTAGACTAGACAAATGTAACGTCTTCTTGCTTCTCTTTTGCCAATGTGGTTTTTTCAACCATTAGTGTGTTTTTTTTAAAAAAAAATTAAAATAAACATTATGATAAATGACTTAGGTGAAGATCAGTGTGACTTTTATATTTTATTAGCTTTAAAATATTTTGGATTTGAACCAGACATCCTGTACACGCAACAAATTTAGTATTGCATTTTGATATTGATTTTAACAAGTGCAGGTTCTATAGTTTGGTTTGTGAGGATTAGTTATGTTTTACGAGTTGATCACGCACTGATATCAGTTAGACAACCATTGAAAACCAGGGAGTACTGGACAGCTGCTGTTTCATCCTAGTTTGGGAATCATCGGCAGTACGCACCCACTGGGATTCGAACCCAGGACCTTCCGGTTTCAAGGCAAGCTCGTATACCATTCAGCCACTGGGACCCGATTCAATGGCTCATGAATTCTAACTTCTACCAATTCGTGATTTTAGCGCGACCCCAACTATTGTCGTTGGTGGGACATCCATTCACACACGTGACTTCTAATTGGACCTCACTGGTCACGACTTCTCACATAACTAATCCTCACAAACCAAACTATAGAAAATTATTCTGATGCTCGCTAGTGACTTGCTACAGTTTGGAGCTTCCTGGAGTTCTAGTGAAAAGTCGTGACCAGTGAGGTCCAATTAGAAGTCACGTGTGTGGATGGATGTCCCACCAACGACAATAGTTGGGGTCGCGCTAAAATCACGAATTGGTAGAAGTTAGAATTCATGAGCCATTGAATGGGGTCCCAGTGGCTGAATGGTATACGAGCTTGCCTTGAAACCGGAAGGTCCTGGGTTCGAATCCCAGTGGGTGCGTACTGCCGATGATTCCCAAACTAGGATGAAACAGCAGCTGTCCAGTACTCCCTGGTTTTCAATGGTTGTCTAACTGATATCAGTCCGTGATCAACTCGTAAAAGTACAGGTTCATAAATGATGAATCTATATTTGCAAGAAATGTGCGAAAATGCTCATTGAAATATTTTCAAAAAAATTGGTTTCTGAAAAGAGAATATGCTTTTCGACAAATTCATCATCAGGTTCTACAGTTATTTATACATAATAGTCAATTAACTAGTGTTGTTAAAAACATTATTGTTGTTTAAACAACATACACTCAACAATAGTATCAGTGGATTACAGTTTGATAGCACCAACATAACAATACACTGAATATCAGGAAAGCTATAATAAAATTCATGAATTTATAGTCTCCAATTCAACGCCGATATACCTAGCGAAATAATTACTAAGAAGTGAATAAAATCAGTTCAAAGAACATTTAATGCTGGAAAACTACAAGTCTTATTTTCTATACGACTGATGGTGATTCTATAAAAGAAAGATCAAGTACCTAGACTAGACTAACCACTTCTAATTGTATCTACCGATTCAATTGCGTTTGTGGTGGAGCGAGTTATAGTGGCCGTTGCTCCAGGAACCTGATTTTCCATGCTCAATCAGAAAGATCTACCAGTGCGACTAAATAAAGATGTTTCAAAAGCTATCAACAGTTCGACATCAGACCACCTGATCAAAACCGACCACAAAGATAGCCAGCATTGGAGAATCCATCTCCATCATCTACCGGGTACTAAATAAATTGCCAAAATCATCCAGGTACCACATGCTCCAAACAGCAGAGGCTATCGTGATTCGTCTGAAACAACCGGTGCTCTGTGAGCCAAACAAGTAATTCCAGCCAGCCACTAATACTGCCCAGGCAGGCCTTCAGTGGAGACTATAAATTCATGAATTTTATTATAGCTTTTCTGATATTCAGTGTATTGTTATGTTGGTGCTATCAAACTGTAATCCATTGATATTATTGTTGAGTCTATGTTGTTTAAACAACATTAATGTTGTTAATAACACTAGTTGTGCGCCGGTGGCACAGCGGTTAGGACTCTCGCCGACCATGCACATGGTCCGGGGTTCGATCCCCGGCCGACGCACTCCTTTACCTCTCTAAGCCAGAAATAATGCTGGTAAAGAGGAGAGGTTGGGCATGAGGATAGCAACCCCATCCTGTAAAATTAAACACTGCTACAGAAACTTCAAGCCACTAGCTTGAGGCCCTATGTTCTACTGAGAACGTGAAGGAAAAAATAATAAAAATAATAATAACACTACTTCATTCACTATTATGTACATATAACTGTAAAAGCTGATTATGAAGTTGTCGAAAAGAATATTCTCTGTTCAGTAACCATTACCTTTAAAAAATGTGTGAAAAATTATGTTCCATAAATTTCTTAGGAAAATGTAAATTTCACATGAGGCGGTTTCCATAAGTCAATTAGCGCAAACATCCTGAAAATGATTCTATTTCCTTTTGACAAAACTGATGTTAATCAAGCGACGTGCGAAAATGCCGAAGTCCTAATGACTTCGTTAGTTTCATTTATAGCAGTTATTGAGGAAAAAAGCCGTTTCTATCCATTAATATCACTTTTGACAGTAAATACTGGAAATATACAAAAACAGGATAAATTATGCCCCGATATTAGTCAATGATTGCATTTTGGTTGCAACACTGTTAATTCTGACCAACCTTAGAGTTTAGGATGCTCATCATCCAGGTCGGTAGCAAGGTGGAATTTTACTTCAGCTCAGCGGACATTCAGATTACCCATCGAATAACATAAAATTAACGATTTACAAACAAGATTCTAATGACAAACGAACCGTGAGATTTGTTTCTGTTGTAACAGTAAAAAGACGGCCTTCTTTTCGTCTTCCGAAACACTGGAAGACCTTCATGATGATTGTTTGTACATAAATACGACAAGTAACGCTTATCTTATCACACTTTTCCCCCATCTGAAACTCCTTAATAAAATGTTACAGAGTTTTTCAACCGGTGAATGAGTGAGACTTGAGTGAAACACTCACCATTTGATAAATTATATTTACAATGGGTCCACTATACTTGATTTGTAGTACGGATTATATTTTGTATTAAATAAAATAGAAGTTGAAAATAGGATTTATATTATCTAGTTTATTTCTCACCTAAACTTAATTGTACACAATCGAGAAAGACTTAGCATTGAGGGAACAAGCCGGTTGTCGGTGTACATGAAGAAAAAAAAGAAAAAAAAAGGGAACATGAAGAATTCATGAAGTAGATATACTACTCATAAATTCTAGGCGGGAAATGCTGGTACATGTTTGTTAAGTGAGTAGATGTCTGGGTCGGTTGGCTGGTTATTTAGGGTTATATGGAATCAATGGTAATAGTTAAAAACATCAGCACTTGCTGGGTAAAATAATTAGGATCAAAAAAAAAAAACTTTAGGTAATTAAATAAAAAATAAGTTGAAATCAGTCATATAAGTCATAATTACTCGTGCGAAGGTAGAAAAAAAAGTATTTATGCGTATGAAATATAAGATTCACGTCTCTCTGTCTGGCTTTGATTCGTCTGAGGTCTCATAAAATACAGAGAATGAAAACAAATAGTTAGAAGATAGAAAGTAATTATATATGTATCAAGGTTATATGTCATGTTCACCTGTTGTTATATGTGGAACTCGTATAACTTTGTCTTCGTTAAAAAGTATTATTTTAGCACTACCATTATGACTATTAGCATTGTCATAGTAGCCTGAATTTCGGCAGTTTTGTTCAACATCACTAACACTGATATCACTACAATCACTGTCATCATTAATTTTCATTCGATCATTCATGGAAGGAGTGTTACAATTGTTGATGATATCTTCATCTTCTATCAAGCTGTTATTTGAATCTACATTGCTATCCTCTGTTTCTTGATGAGTATTATTGTTATTGTTATTATTATTACTTGGACGATGATGATGGCGATTACGACGGTGATGACTGTGAATGTCACTACGGGGAGATACACTATTATCAGTAGTATCCTCATCATCGTTATCATTAATGACAGTGTTCCCATTATGACCATTATTTAAGAAACTGCGATACTGCTTTGTGTTACAAGAGCCGTCTAGACTTGGATGTTTAAGTCGATCTGGAGATTTTGGATTTGAAGTACACTTGACTGATCTGTCGAATAAATCTGACAGTTTGCTGTTATTCTGGTCAAATGAATATCGACGATACGAGTGAACTGGTTTTGAAGAGTTGTCAGACATCTAAGAAGAAATAAATAAATAAAATTATAATACAAGTATAGTCTGGTGATAATAAATAATTAAGATGTCTTTTTAAAATGCATCCTCTCATACTATCTGATAAAATACTTGAACTTTATACACAGGTTTATTATAGGAGAGAGAAATATTAAGCATTATTACATGTGATTTCGTGAGTAGCAGGGACTAAGTGAAAAGAAAATCACAGAATAAGAAGCTGTATGTAGCCATCTCGCCTTGTGTTAGGTTTCGAAATTATTAGATATTTTAAGCATATAGTTTTAAGTGTACCGGAAGAATATCTTGAATTTCACACTAAACAGCCTAATCAGTAATATTCAGACTTTTAGTGTGAAGTAACTCACAGTTCTGAGAAACTAAGCCAGTAGTCTTGTGGTGACAGCTGGCTGCTAGCCAAATTGGTAGATGGTAGTTTACGTCAATGTTTACTTGAGACGTTGCTGGAAGGTCGGGAGAAAGCAGCATATGGAAGTGCGAGGCGAAACACCAACGAATGTGCGACACGGTTAGGCAAACAGTTTCCAAAGTGGGAAGGACCACATATGGTCACTTTGAGATGGGGTTACGCAGACACAATCGCAATGGCAAACAAAGAGAAACAGGTGAACATCAGCGAGCGCCGCGATTCCAGACAGCAAGACGAACGAACAAAGCCCCTAGAACCAAGAAGACCGAACCAACTTCAGTCGCAAGTCTTTGACGGGGGGACGAGTGTGGTGAGAGCTGGCTGCTAGCCAAATTGGTAGATAGTAATTTACGTCAATGTTTACGTCCTCAATATTGGTCGTGAGGAAAATATGAACAAAGACTGATTCCACAACCAACCACAGGAGACTTTGCGTAGGCGGGTAGATGTTCTGACATTTAAGAAACAGCCACAAAGAGATGAAAGATTAACTTTCAGTGAGAAACAACCAATCAGAAGACTGTGTTCGTCCGCTTAAAATATTCTGTAATAATGTACATGAAAGTTTATAAATATCTGTTGATTTCCTAAAATAAACGATCTGTTGCCTGGCCCTTGTCTTCTGTCGTTACAGTCTTACATATTAATGTCATCCTGAAATTCCACGATAATCACTAAGGAAATTATTTCGACAGCGACGACTAAAACAAATGCTACACAGTCTTAAATTCCATTGTGAACAACACAAAAGATTACACAGAAACGATGTTGAATTCACTCTAGCAAATCTAAAACTAGTCGCCTTGTTCTTTTACAGCTAAGATTATTCATTATAGTTGCAATGAAGTCATCACTCAAAAGCATTAAGAATCCCATATCAGATGAATGCAAATGACTTCTGTAAAATTCATGTAGTTGAATTCCTTGATACGTTTGAATAATGCAATGAGAAAAGCTTTTACAGAAGCTGCTCTAAACACACCTTATTAGATCCTATTGGTGACTCACTTATTTAGTAGCCAAGTAATATAGTTATTATCTGTATTGTTCTGTTTGCTAGCCAGTGAAGAATTCGCAGTTTTCAAAAAGGTACAGAAAGCACAAAGGCTGGCATCAAGAGTTATGTTAATTACTTAGCATAAATTATTTGACATTCTAGACAATGATATGCAAAACACATTATGTTGGATTGTGGAAATTAATGTGAGAAAGGCAAGTAAAACTCACAATACTCGGAACTTCAGATTTTCGAGAGATACGTAATGGATTTTGCCTGGGTTTTCGTGTACGTACACCAAGGATATTGGCTACAAAATCTGTGTCTGAATTTGTTTTACTTGGTGAATTGGAAAAGCTGTTGAATTTATTTTTATTGATAGTATAACAAGAATCTGAATTGTTATAGGCATTACGACTTGTAGCAAAACTGTTTGTTCTTCCAATACTTGATGCAGTAAACGATGGCATTTTTCTGATCCATGGATGTTGAAGTGCTTCAACTGGATTCATTCGTTCATCTGGATTCCATTTTAAACATCCTTTTAAAAAGTCAATCATATCTGGATCTAATGGTTGTGGTATTTTATGACCGAAATTTGATGTCTCACCCACAGGTAAACAGACAGAAGAATTTTTCGAATTTGTCAATGCTTCAATTAAGTTTGTAGAACCAGGGGATTTTCTTATCTTGTGATGTTTATTACCATTACTACGTTTAAGTTTACTTGAAGAGTTCAATGATTTACTTAGATTGGTTATAGCTTCTTGTAATTTGTCCGTTTGTTCATTTCCGCCGTAAATATGTTGGTGTTGTTCAATCATATACAAAGGTTGTCCACTACTATTGAAGTAATGATGACTTTGACTTCCTTTTTTAATCATCTGCATTGGAGGCAGGCCCAAAATTTCCATGATACAAGCCAATTGATCAGAAGCATCTTCACCGGGGAATAATGGTTCCCCTTAGGATAATAAAAATAAATAAAAATAGAGAAATCAAATCTTTTGATGGAGAACTTTTAAAAGAGCTATTTAAATTATTTATAAATAATCACACGATTGATTACCTCGATATGATTATGAGCAATAAATTGTGCTGGAAACGTCATCAGTAAAAATTACTGTATAACACTGTGAGACTTTATCAAAATAAAATTTACCCATAATAGTATTTATAAATAAGTCTATAAAGGAAGCTTATGGTAAGCATTATTAGTCGCTAATGATAGGCGTTCCTCAGTAAATCAGAAAAGCTGAACTAATCTTTAGATAATATTAATTTGAACAAAAAACCTTACTCTTTAACATAATAGCCAGTTTGCACCTAAATCTCCTAGTAAATTGGAACTTCTTAGTTTCCAGAACAAGCTGGATTCAGGAAAGGCAAATCATGTTCTGACCAAATCGCAACTCTACGCATTATCATCGAACAAAGCATGAAATGGCAACCAAACCTCTACCTCAACTTTATAGACTTTGAGAAGGCCTTCGACAGCGTTGACCGCGAAGTAATTTGGAAACTACTCGAGTACTACGGCGTACCCCAAATATTCATCAGTCTTATTCAACAGCTGTACAACAACACCAAATGTCAAGTGATCCACAATGGAAAACTCAGAGAGGCGTTTGGAGTAAACACAGTAGTCAGACAAGGGTGCTTATTATCACCAATGATATTTCTAATTGTGGTGGACTGGATTATGCGTCAGACAGTGGGAAACGAGAAGACAGGGATATCCTGGACCGACGTGAAGAACCTAGTAGACTCGGATTTCGCGGATGATTTATGTTTGACGTCACACAAAATCGAAGACTTACAAGCGACAAACTGGTCGAAGAAGCAGCAAAGACAGGACTCCACGTGAACATGGACAAGACGGAGGTTATGAAAATAAGCAATCAACAACAACAACAGCAACAAAATCTTGCTCCAATCACCATCAACGGGAGCGATTTGAAAGAGGTTACTTCATTCACTTATCTAGGGAGCATTGTCTCAACTACAGGAGGGACGGACGAGGATGTCAAATCGAGAATCGAGAAGGCGAGAAACACATTCACCAACCTGAAACCAATCTGGAAATCTTCGTCACTCAGCCTGCATCAACAACAAAATGATTCGGATTTTCAATACAAACGTCAAGTCAGTTCTTCTACACGTATGGATCAGAAACTTGGCGGGTCACAAAGTATATTTCCAACAGCCTGTTGCAGACATTTATCAACAACTGTCTTCGCTCTATACTGAAGATCAGATGGCCGTGGAAAGAATCACCAACAAGAAACTATGGGAACAAACAAAACAAGAACCAATCGCTCAACAAATATGCAATAGAAAGTGGAGATGGATTGGACACTCACTGGCTGAGGAGGCCGCTGGATGACATCGCGCGTCAGGCCAACGCTCGAGTGGAACCCGAAAGGGAAGCGGCGAGTAGGACGTCCAAGAGTGACATGGAGGAGATCGTGTGAAGAGAAATTGAAACAATATGGATTAACATGGATGCAAGTGAAAACTACAGCAGAAGACAGAAGCAAGTGGAGATGTGTAGTTGAAGCCCCATGTTCCACTAGGAACCCAAGGGAACAATAATAATAATAATTAACCTCACAGTGTTTTCTGTTATTGCCATCCTCCAGTAAGTATTTTGATCTTTATGAAGAGTAGGCTAGTTCTAAAGTTCTGCTGGGTGTTAAATCTGAGGAAGGGAAACATTTCAGTTTATTGTTTCTCTATTTGAATACTTTTCAAGCACACCCAATTCAAGCTGCTGTATTTTGGAATGTTTATTCAACTTTCAGTAGATTGGTTCTTGATCCAAATTCCGCCCAGTCTATACTTTAGCCGTAACAACTGGGTAGTGTCATCGGCTCCCACAAAATAAGTGTGACAAATATCCTGGTATATGAACAATTTGACCTCGATAACTGAAATAATGAAATCAAAGGTAGATGGTAAATGTCCAAGTACACTTAAGTCCTTAGGCTTCTAATCTTCCACGGCATCCTAGTAGCGCGCCAACTTCTCATTGAATGACACAATTATACCATGCTGAATCAAACTAAAGATTTAATGCTTTTTAAAGCATGCTCTACTACTGACAAACATTAAACGGTCGAAATTAGTACACCGATGAATCGATTAATTCATGCTGTTTACATTGCTTTGAGTTGTAAATTGAGATTCTTATTCAACTACATAACTTGCTCAAAAATTTATTGAAAGCCTTCATATTAATTACTTTCATAAACTACATATATGCATGTATTAAGGTCATACCAACTTTGAATTATATCTAGGGTAATACTTAAATTAGCATGAAATAAGGGATTGATTAATACCATTAAAATACAATAGAATGCTAAAATAAAATTTCAAAGTTGAAAATATATTTGCTTTACAGCGTAAATTAAGTTGTAGTATTGTGTCATTTAGTTACTTCATCTTCACATTTCAAGTGTAAATGTGGAAGATTTAACACACATACAAAGAAAATCACATACTGTGCAGGCATTCATCAAGAAGCATCTGGTGAATATGAAGCTGTTTGCATTTATCTATCTAAAATGTTAACAAGCGCTAAACTGTATCGTTAAAGCCTCTTTGAGCCAAATATTCAAAGCATTCAGGTTATCTATCGAAAATGTCAGCGCCAGTAATCTGAAGAATAATGAAAGGTCTGAATTCTGTATACGCCTTTGAAGTGAGAACAGACGTCAAGCAAAACAATTATTCGGTAAGTAAATATTTGTGTGAATTTATCAATAGTTTTAAAAACTGGACAGTCACCGACAGGAGTCTCAGAGTCAAAAAGTTCGACACTGCAGTAGTGTCGGCTATACATTGAATTAATGAAATTTTGTTCTCAAAGTTTGCAGGCTTGCATCGAAACTATCATTTACAGAATTACAGTTTGTATTTCTTCTATAAAAGTAAGACAAACTCGAATAGATTTCATTTACTGTTAGGTTTTCAAAAATATATGAGTCACACTATTACAAAACTTACATAGATTTCAAAACCTAACCGTAATGGATGTAGCGGAAGTGTGCAGTTCACAAACACTCTGTGAACATAATTTGGAAAGACCGTATGTGCCTCTGGTGCCTCTTAATACTTCACTGCTTCCCAACAGATGTTACTTGATGAATAAAGTCGCGGTAGAATCAACAGATTCCTCAAAGAGTTTCAAACTGTATATTATATAGAAGACGATTTGTTTCCTTGACAATTTTTTTCTTAATATTAAGGAATTTAAACCAATTTGTTCCATTTATGAATTTCGACCTAACAATGCGAAGATGTAGTTTATCTGAAACGTGTAATGGTATTTGCGCAACACATTTCGGACATTCTGATCACACACGTACTTATCATACACATATATATAAAAGGCAAGATAGCATGAATTATTACAGTACAAGTCAAGGTCACAAATAAGGGGTAGAAAGATGACGTTTAGGTGTGGGTAAGAGAAGAAACCCAGAGAAAACGAAAGGGAGGGGGTGAAAATATCATTAAGTAAATTGAACCTTGGTTCAAATTGGATTACCAACGAAGGTTTGAAGTAATAACAAGTAATTTTTGGACACATGAGACCGGTTTAAGCCTTTTTATGGCCAAGGCTTCAACGAATTTAAGTATGTGATCCAGCCTTGTTTTATGTATGGGCTTAGAGACATTGTTGAAAAAAACCTTATGACACGTCTCTATAATGTGCTTCGCTATAGATGACGTTGAACACCCATCTCCGGAACCAGTTGTATCCGGTGATTTAATCTGTTGTTGCAGCCACTTTAGAATATATTTTGTAGTCCCAACCTACAGAGAACGATGGGCCCTCCCTATGTACGTGTGTCCACACATACATGTTAATTGGTAAACACAATAAGATGTGACACTATCGTTCGGATGCTGTGAGGGTTTACAGGACAGCATACATCTCGTTTTCTCTATGAGAATAAGTTTGGCTGCATAATAAGTTCTATTAATTGCCACATTTAGTCTTTGTTTAGTGACCAGACTTTGTTGATCGCTGCCGAACGGCAAGGATATGTAAACATTCATTTCGGGAGCTGACTGGATCGGTAGAACTCTTTGTTTGTCACTTCCGTAACGCTTAATGAACTTCAACGGATAGTTGTTATCTAAGAATGTTTCAGTGAGGTGTTGTCTTTCTTCTTCAATTGTATCGGCAGTACATATACGGTAAATGCGCTTGAACAAACACTTAACCAACGCCTTTTTATACTGTGGTGGACAGAAACTATGATAAATTAGATACTGTCTCGTCCATGTGGACTTTCTGTAGACAGATCGTTTTACTGACCCATCTTCTCGGCGGGTTATGAGTACATCTAAAAATGGCAAGCAATCATTATTCTCTTTTACGTATGTGTTAGCGATATGCTGTTTTGTCCTTTATGGAACAGGTCAAGGATTTCTATGGAAACTGTAGGTTTATCACAAATAGCTATTATGTCATCCACGTATCTCTTATAAAAATAAACTTTTCCAATTACTTCCTCAGCTAGGTTCTAAACATGCGACATTTACATATCAGCTGACAATAGATGGTGTTGCAATGGGAAGCCCTTTAGGTCCACTAAGCCTTTCGGTATATAAATGACAGTCAATTCAAAGATGTTGTAAAAATGCTCATACCTGTTTCAGACTAGTATTTTTATGGCAAATCTGAAAAGGAACTCAACAAATATATGCAGATATCCGCGGTAAATAATGAGCCTAACTTGAAATCCCGTCCAAATTTTCGATGTATTTGGTTGAAGGTCAAATTCCTAGACTCAATTAGTAAAAATCCTATTGATTTTTGATCTGTTATGGACACCTTACAGTGGAAAGAAACTTGGTCGTAGTTTATAAGAATAACTTAAATTAATGCCAATATGAATCGATAAAAAAATGTGCATTATAGTCTAGAATTACTTGTGTCAAATCAAGTTCTGTATGTAAAATATATGCAAAACAGTTGATACTGTACATAGTCTATATATTTTTTGCGAAATGCTTTACAACAGATGATACTGAATTTTTATTTTGAATGCCACTTGTCATCATATTAGTCATTCTTTTTAAAATCAATTTTGTGTGCAAAATTTCACACTCAGAATTGGCAAATATTATTATTAATTTACAACTAACAGTTATAATTTTTCACCGTTCATCCTTAGTTATATTTCTACTAGAAGGTATATGTTCCTTTTAACTGAAACGGGTAGGCAAACATTGATTATTGACAAAAAAAGTGAAAAAAGGCATTCACAGTAGGTAATATACGTGAAATGTTTAGGTCTCTTATGGTGAAGTGATCTTCAAAGGAGATAAAATTGTAATAACTTCCCATGATAGGTCAATGTAGGCTAAAACTTTGAGGAGCAGTCTAACTGATAAACATCAGCACTACAGTTGTTTACTACCCAGCAAGAATGTGTCAATGTATGGTAGACAGTTCGTTCAGTAAAATTAAATAAGTGGCGGGATATGTCAACAAATTTGTTTTAAAAGATCATGAAGATGAAAAAAAGTGTATTTTAACCTAAGAACGCTTGTCTTATTATTCAACTTTTGATCTATGCAGGCGTGTTAATTATAGGAGACAATCAGCATAGACTCAGACTTCAGTTTTAGCTCTAAACACAAATAGCGTTCACTGGTCAATACCTTACGAATTTAGACTATGTACTTATTCGAAATTCACCATCTAAGAAATAGTAGGCAAACAGTACAAGTTCTAGACATGTAAGTGTAGCTAATATCTTGTATACAATATGATGTCCCTAGGCTGAATAAGCTTTCTTGGTATAAAGATTAATCAGCATTTTTTCTCTACTTGCTTGACATATGACCTTATAGCACTTCATGATTGCTACACATATGATAAATATTTCTGACAGTTCTTTCCTTACTCGTTACGTGTTTTCAACGGTCCGATGTTATAAAACACACTTTTCTGAGCCAATTATTACGACGTGCTCATCCGCACTCATTCGATCTCGCGTAAATTACTTGAAAACAAATAAGATTAGACGCAATATCTCAATGTATCCAAGACGTATTCGCCTTTCATAGCTTCCTTTATTAACTTGTTTAATCGCATATGTTTATGAACCTCTGTGAATAAATACATTTTTACCAAAAACCTATGCCAAATTTTCCTTTTTATCAGATACATCAATTCAAATGCTTTTATGCACTGAAACAAAATGCACGAAAGAAAAATTTACCATTATTTGAATTATAGTTGAAATGAACTATGAGATATGCATCTCCGTTGTTTCTCTAGTGCGCATATTTTCAATTCACTTTTCATATGACTTTTATAATTTTCGGTTAGAGGAAGTATTTTCTCTCTTAAAAATTGTTATCACAGTCACGCTTCTTATTCAATAGAAGAATCCTCAATAAGTGATGTGCAAGATACACATTTTCAGGGTAAAAATCGACAATATTCTTATCATTATTCCTGGTTTATCTGACATCAGAATACTAAGCATAAATGCCACACGGTGCATACAGCTGACGGATATAAGTAATCGGGAATCACTGACACCAAGTAGATTAAACAGTTATATTGTAACAACAGAAGGCAAGACACGGAAGCCAAGGTATATTTTTCCATTGATCAAACTGCTGTTCATATATTATATACAGTTTATATTCTTTAACCAATCACTGAGCTTGTGATTTCGGTTTACATCAAACGACATGAAATACAATGTTCAAATATACAGTAGCATTCTGTTGCTAATGCGGTTTATAACTGTGGGAAAAGTATTCTGTCTCTAACATCAAAAATAGAATGTTCAAATAGATATATCGTATTGTGTTGGTAATGCCGAATTGAACTGTGGGAATATGTGAGAATGATATTCCGTTGGCACACATTGTCTGTATCACACCGCCACAATATTACTAGTGAAAGATTTGAGTATACCTTCAATGATTACATAGGAGTTAGTACAATATCTCACTAAAAATTCAACTATTTGTCTACTTAGCCTGATTGTGACGGGTGTGAATTCATGTGAAACAGTGATGCTTAAAGGCAATAATAGTGGTCAAATATATGACATCTTTTCAAATATCTTCTTACTTTTTCGAACCAAAGTTCTGTCAATCTCAGTCTAGGCACGTAGAACTGCATTTAATGCATTCGCCAAAAAATATATGGGTTGAATAACGGATTACATTTTGTTTCAATGAGATTATATCACTTTTAGCTAGAAAGTATTCATTCTGAGATACCCTGGACACTTTAAATATGACAAAGTATGATTATGTATCAATTTGGTCTATTGGATATATCAGTGCGTCGGTGGTATAG